CTTGGTCAGAACCTGGCCAAGTCACCTTAGCCCTTTAAACCTCAGTTACCTCTATAAAATAGGCATTTAGGAAACTGCGTCCCTCATAAGGCAGTGGTAAAGGTTCAGTGAATCTGTCAGAATAAAGTGGGTAGCAGAGTGACTGGCGAATGATCAGTAAAGCCACTATTGTCCTTTTCTTTCTCCTTTCCTTTGTCATTTTATCAGCTATTATGCTTTATCCCACCATCCTCCTGCTCTTTTTTCTTCTAGTAGCAGTCATCCTACCTTGATATTTCCCTATATTTTAGTCCTGGTCCCAAATTCTCTCACTTCTTGTGTTTTCCATTTTCCTTACTTCATAAGGGTTTCTGTTCAAATGACACCCTCCTTGTCCTCAGAATTTCCCTGTCTCCCCACCCTCTTTATGTTGTTCAGTACCACCTAATGTCTTGTTGTGTATGTGTATGTGTAGGTCATGGTTTGGGGCCTATTGCAAGAGGAAACAGTATAATACAGGACACATATAAGATTATTTATAAAAGTCACCCAAAGAATGATAGTCATTCATCATTCTCATAGTCACTCCCATTCTTATAGTCACCCCCATTCTTATAGTCACTCCCATCATTCTTATAGTCACTCCCATTCAATAGTCACTCCCACACAAAAGAGTGCAGGAAATCTGTCCATACACTAAGACCAAGGAATTGAGCCGAGGGCCTGGGTCCCATGGAATTGTCCTGCATGAGTCCAGCTGAAGACATAGAGCTCATAACAATGCCTCCCATGAGTCCAACTGGAAGCCTAGAGCCATAACAATATCTCATTCAGGCCCGTTTCATGGATCTGCACTGGAAGTCCCAAAGGTCAGTGGTGGAATCTAGAAAGTCTGTGCCAGCAGGATGAAGGATCTGTGCTAGCAGGCTGAGGGATTTGAACTGGAGCCGGGAAGTGATGCTGAAAGTAAAAACCAGAGTTCCCTTGAAAACCAGAGTACCAAAGCCATGCTCAGCAACAGTGAGGGCCCAAGCTCCTCCGATAGTGAAGACAGCTGAGTTCCCATCAAGAAAGCCAATGCAGCAAGCTTCTCCAGGATACCCGCGGTACACCATCTTCCCCTCCAGAGCCAGGAAGCAATGCTTAAATTGAGGACCAGAGCTCCCCCAAAGTGAACCAAAGCCATTCTCGGTGCCTATGAGGTCCTGAGCTCCTTAGAGAATGAAAACAGCCGAGTTCATCAGGAGAGCCAGCATGACAAGCTCCCCCAAAAAAACCAACAGCTCCTCACAGTTTCTCCCAACCCCCCACAGCCTTCCTCAGTTCCCAACAGCCTCACTTCTTCTCCAGTTCTGCCGCTTATGCTGCTGGCAACAATCCCCAGGTGGGCCTCCCACACCCAGCACCATGCTTACTCAGTTCAGCTGGGGGTTATAAGTTTACCACCAGTTGTCAATCTACCACAGTATGTCTATATGAACATGTCTCCACAAAATATTTAGGTTTCTTTTCCACCCCTTTTCATTATAGCATTGTGTGAGTGTCTTTAGGTATGTAGCTCTTTCACATAAAGGAGTATTTTCTGGCACTGCAAGTTCTAGACCAGCCTG